CCCCCCCCCCCCCCCCCCCGACAACAAGCGCTTCTCAATTTGAAGTCACCACAGACAGGTGAGTGCTTATCCTTGGCCTGGCCTGAAACTACACACCAGGAGATTTTACCTATCCTGTCACACTATCCATCAGAGTTTAGAGTCTTTTAAAAAGGGATAAAGCCATACTAAAGATCACCATCTAAAACATACTTGGAAGCTGGGTATGGTCATGTAGGATTTGGGAGGCAGAAGCAGGCAGATCTCTGTGAGTTTGAAACTTGAAAAACAACACACACACACACAAAAAATACTGGGGTCAGACAAGAAGGATCAGTGGTAAAGGCACCTGCTGCCTAGTTTTATGAACTAAATTTAGTCACTGAGACCTATGTAGTAGAAGACTTCCAACACACACACACACACACACACACCACAGTGATAGGCCTATTTTGTCTTGAAAGGACCACCTGTAAGTACCTGGATGTTGTTGGAAATGTCACCGGTCAGAGCCACATGCAGGACAACCAGGGGCTCCTCAGGGGTGGAGCAGTGGGAGAAGAAGTAGCATCTCCGGTATGGCCCCACACGCCGCTTCATGTCCATCCAGTTTTTCACAGGGTGCACAGCCTCACACCTGACCAAGCAATACAGAGATTAGACAGATGCGAGAATTATAAACTATCAAGGGCTGAGTCCAATCTCCTTAGCCACTTCTGCTCTGTGTCTAACACCACTTTGTTCCTGACACAGGGTCTTGCTTTACAGCCCTGGCTGGTCTGATACTATCACTGAGGCTGACCTTGAGCTTCGGATGATCTTCCTGCTCCATGCCTTCCATGGACTGGGATGACAGGATGTGCTGCCCACTCAACACCTGCTTTCAGGGGACTTTGCGGGCTCTCAGGTGCATTTATGCAGCAGTTTCAGGCAAACCTACTGGAATTTCTTGCTGCTGAACATGGTTTCTTATCTTTGCTTTGGAAATAAATTCCCATGCTGCCAACACTGGTGGATACACATGTCTCCAGCCTTATCCCACATATTCCTACTTCCAGCATGGGGAAGAATAGTAGACACTACCAAGGTTTACATCCCAGGATGCTTTCCGGCCCTCGATTATATGGGCCAATGTGGAGTGTGGGCAGAACAACGGTATGTGTTGCACTGAGCCCTGATCATGATGTGATTATGCCGACGGGGTATTTCAATAACTGGATGAAACAGCACCATTCTGACCTCTCAGGCCAAGACTTGTTCCAATTAGTCCCTACAGCTTTGGTGGCGAGGCCATTTGCTTTAAATAACCCTGGGTGACTAACAGACTGGCTAGGGTCTTTCTGGGGTGCACCCCAATCTCCACCCTCCCTGTGATAATAGTCCAGCACCCACACCTAGTGTGTTCATAGATCAGGTGAAGTAAAAGCCGTGCAGGCCATGGCCGCCATACTCACTCACTGATCTTCTGAAGCACCTCACAGGGGGAGTGCCAGGTGACCCGCTCCAGGCTCAGGAAGCCAGAAGAGAACCACTCGGACAGCATGCTCTTCAGTACTCCATTCATTTCCTGGGCAAGAGAGAGGAAGGCAGCCTCAGAGAAGCCAGTGTCCCCCCAGGAGTCTATCTACCCACTGACAGACATACACTTCTATATCCTGATGTCTCGGAGTCCATACCCTTGCTTCCAGCCGGGCTCATGGCTGTAGAATCAAGATTGTACTGCACATGGCAGTGACCATGTGCCTGACTTCTGGACAATGAGCTGTAAGTAGAGGGGTCTTGTAATGGCTTTGGGAGCCTCAATGACATCAGGACATGGCTTTTGTTGACTTTTTTCTTTCGTCTTTTCCACTGTGAGCTGGTAGTTGCTGGGATAGATAATGTTAGAGCAGTCACACTGGGCCAGGAGGTGACTGTGATGGTTTTTCAGAGAACAGTACACCCCCAATCCAGGACACCGAGAGCACGGTTAGCCTGGGGCTGCTTCACTCCAGACTTCAACCCAAGTGACCAACTTCTCTGCTCCACAGACCTCTGTGACTGTGGATTTATTACTCACAGGTGAATTCCACAGGTGAATTCCACGGAACAGTAACAGACAGTGCTTCTGGTTCACTGCGGCGACCTTCCACATCTAAAGAAAAGTCTGTACATACACACAGCTTTTCCATTCGTGCAGTTAAGTACCAGGACACAGAGGAGGCATAGTTTTGTCCTGGGCAGCTTTACAGGGTGCAAGGACAAACCCAGGACCAAGGAACCTTGTTCAATGTGAGAGAGGGTTTTGAATGGCTGCACACAACTCTCAGGCTCATGGGAGAGGGTGAAGGAGCTGGAAGGGACGGCTTGCAGGGTGCACGAGAGTTGCCCGTCCTGGGAAGGACGCAAACTGGGAAAGCGGCTGGGTGAGAGCTGTGCAGGTCCTTCACCTTATGTTCTCAATCTCATTTTTTTTTAAAAAAAAAAAAAACAAAACTCGGGTGAAGGCTCTGCCGGGCAAAGTTCACCTTAGTCAAAGCATTCACCCCCACACTAATCCCCAAGAACACAGAGGTGTTGAGAATGGTGACTGGAGAGCCACGGGCTGGCAACACAGGATAGCCTTTTATGAACCCTCATGCTCTGGCTCAAGATTGCTTAATGGGTAAAGCGCTTCCCACTCGAAAATACAAAACTGAGGGGATCTCCACAACCTGAGTGGAAGCTGGACACATGGACACAGCACTCCTAAGGAGAGACAAGAGGACACCTGGAAGCTGCAGACCTGTAGCATTCGCAGCAGTGAGCAGCTGGAAGACAAGGGCCAGTGCCCACGGCTGACCACTGATGCTATGTGCATTTGTACCCGCAACACATACACAACAATTTTAAAAAAAAAGCTCTGCATAGTGGGGGTACACACCAGCACTCAGGAGGCAGAGGCATGTTTATCTTTATGACTCTGAGGCCAGTCTGGTCTCCAAAACAGAACAAAGAAGCTTTTGCATACTCTGCACCTGACCCTGATCATCCTTCCAAGGTCTTAAGATCTCCATTTTTAAAGAGTAAGCTAAGAAACACTAACTATCCCTAGGGAAAAACGCAAACACATCCTACACCCATCCTCTGTGGCTTGGGGAGCTGCTTCTGTGCCCTCACGGTGGGGCTGGAACAGGCTGGCTGTGCAGGCATGATGGACTACATTTTGACACTCATGGCAGGAAAAGGCCAGGAACCCTGGCTCCACTGATGACGCCTCTCCTCTGGAAGCCTCTTCTATTTTGGGCTGCTGACAGCTGTGGCATGTGATGCTGGACGCAAGAACAGGGGATGTAGGCTAAAGGTGAGAAATCTCACTGTCTGCTTCTTTAACTGCTGTTCCGGAGGGAAGTAACCACAGTGAGCGTTCAGGTCACCAGGTCACACAATAGGCAACAGAAACAGTCTCCTGTGCTTTCTGCTCATTAACACAGCAGTTATGAGTCACAGGAGAAGCTGAGATGCCCGAGAGCCCCCGGCCCCCACCCCCCTTGCTGCACTCGTGGAGGCTGCTCTTCTCTCAGTGGAACGTCCAGCCTCTTCTGAGATGCTTGGCTTTCCAGAGTGACCTCTTTGGGGTATGTGAGGGAAAGTTGCTTTGCCTTGTGGAGAGTCCACAGCCGGGGGGCGGGGGGGGGGCAGGCAAAACTACTGTCAGGGAAAAAAGGATGGGGCAAAGAAAGAGTACAGTTCCAGCCTCACAGGCTACAGCGGGGGGAGGGGGGCACTTGATATAATGAAATCTCTGTCCCTGTCAAAAAATAAACTATGCCCTAACACAGAAAAAGCACACAATTAACACAGAACTTATTAGAACACAGAATTTGCTAGAGTGCTCAGGAGGTACTCCACTGCCTAACAGGCAGAAAGGCTTACTGAGCAGCCCACCTAATCTAACTGGCAAGTCCCGAGTCTCAGTGAAAGCCTGTCTCAGAAACTAAGGCGGACAGCTTCTGAGGACGACATTCCCAGGTTGACCTCTGGCTCATGTGTGTACACATCCATACTCTAGTTCTTCTGGTGACAGGTGACAATACCAAATCCTGGCCGACAAACGCTAGGGAGAGGAATAAAATCTCTATTATCAAAATGACTTAACTGAGAAAATGTTATAGAACCGTGAGAAGGATAAAGCAGCTGGTGGCTTAACTGTGTACTTACAGGGCAGTTAGCCTAGATCTAGGTGGAGGAACACACAAGGCCTCCAAAGCGTGCACCATATAGAAGGGCAAAGGTCAGGCTGTGGCTATACCCTCTTTGCTGACAAATACCTCTAAGCCTCATTCGTGACTCCTGGCCGGCAGTCGGCAGTGTCTTTCTCCCTTACGAGGAGGACAGTCAAGGCTAAAAAGCAAGGGGACCTGTATGTAAAATGTCTAAGTGTGTCTTGCTTCTGATGGCCAGAAGCAAGCGCCTCCCCACAGTCAGTCTCAGTGTTACAGTGTCACCAGCCACGGTGAGCTGAGAGCCCGGCTGGCAAAGGAACTCCCAGAATCAGAATTTGGAATTGGATGGCCATTGGAAGCTATCTATGCCCTTTCCCATAAAGGAGATGCTTACCACCCAAAACAAGGGACTGGAAGAAAAAACTGTCATGCCTGTTTCAGAGTTCTCAAACGAGTTAGGACAGAATCACTCCACTGTTTGGCTTTGAAAAAGTATATGAACCTTGGAAGGACAGGAACTTCTGAAATGTTGGTATCACTGTGCAAAAACTCTATCTAATGGTAACAGTAAAGGGCTGGGGCAACCTTAGACAATCTTTTGGGTCACAGCTACTTAAACCTCCGTTACTTGCAAGCTACGTGATCCTGCTGGGTAAGCAGCTCATTAGTTCAGGTACTAAAAAGTAAACTCAGAATCACTGCGTCTAGGGCTGAGCTTGGAGGCAACTCTCCTACCCAGAGTCGCACACAGAAAGAAGGCTGAAGGCTTTGGAAACTAAGACGGTAGTGACCTTCACTTCTGACCATCTAGGTACATTTCCTGTAACCTGTCAGGGCGATGCCGCGCTCAAACTCGCCCAAGGCCGCGCTCCATCCTTGTTCAGGTACAGCGCAGTTTAAAAGAGAGCTATTTTGGAGTAAGCGCAATGGGTACCCCCTTGACAGCACCAATGCCAAGTACCACGCCATAAGCACTGTGTACCTGCTGCCGGCAAGGCGGAGCCAGAGGGCAGCAGGGGGCTTGGATAAAGACCTAGGAAGCGGCAGGGCCCCGGGGTGGAGGCGAGGGCCCCGGGTGGGGCCTTACCCGGACGTGCGGCCCCTCCACCAGCTTGAGGGCCTGCGCCTCCAGCAGATCGGCCCGCAGCTGCACCAGGAAGCGCACGCCGCCGTCCAGCTTGCTGATGTGATGGAAGAGGCCGCGGTAGCGCGGCACGAGCGCATAGCGCAGCCGGTCCTCGGCCTGCAGCAGCACGGCCACCTCGCGCGACTGCTGGCGCAGCTGCAGCACCCCGGCGCTCTGCTCGGCCACCTGGCCATGGTCCACGCCGAAGCCCTGCGCTAGGCGACTGAGCAGCTCGGCGCGCTGGGCCGTCTCTCCCAGGCCGCCGTAGAAGCTCACGAAGTCGGCGCACTGCGCCTCGGCGGGCGCCGGCGTCTTCTCGCGCAGCTCATAGGCTGGCGTGGGTGGCACGGCTCGCCGCAGCAGCTCGTCCATGGCGCCAACCGTGAGCCCGCTGCACAGCCGAGGCGCCCGAGGCCCCGGCGGCTGCGGCGGGTAGCGGGGTGGGAACAGGCGCCGAGCCCTCAAACCTGGCCCAAGGCATCTCATGATAACCTACAACAGCTGCTAGCAGGGGGACGCCGCCGGACCCTGCCTCACTTCCTGTTCCGGCTTCCTGTACCTCGCCGGTCTTATTGGTCAAAGTGGGACGATGGATTGCGCATGGGCCAATCGGGAGGCAGAGCTGTGCGGCGGGGCGAAGGAGTTCCCTCCGGCTGGAAGCCAAGTGCAGCTAAAGGTCCCGAGGGAGGTGGGGGGGGGGGGGCAAGTAGCCTCAGGGCACCTGACTCGCCCGCTTGGCCTGCAGCCTGACACTTGTCCCCAGAGTCACCCTCTCAGCCCCTGGCCTCTTTGCCCACTACGTACGCGCTTCTCTTGATCTAAGTGCTCGCCGTTTCAGCTCCTCCAGGGACCGTGCTGGGCACTCCGGTGCCTGGGCAAGGAACTGAGGGATCTGAGTTTGCATGCTGAATGAGTACCCCTAGGACTGGGGATAGCTCAGATGGTAAAGCGTTGGAGAACTTGAGTTCACGTCTAGAATGCGTGGGGAAACGATTGTAACCACAGCGTTGGGGAGAGGTGGAGAAAGGAGGATCCCTGGAGCTGGCTGGCTTGCCAGTTCATCTTACATGGTGAATCCGGGCCAGCCAGTGACCCTATCTCCAAAGCCAAACAAAAACAAAAAATGAGGTGACTGGCGCTGAACACCCAAAGCATCCTCTGGCTTCCACAACCACACGTGTATGCCCATGCACCCGCTCAGGTGTGTACACGAAAGTGTACAAGCCCACACGAAGCACTCTGGGTAATTCTCTGGCAAGACATTCTGTTTGACCCTGCCTAGGTACCTTCTGGCTCTTGCCAAGGTTCTACCTGGAGAGGACTACCCGCCAGAGACCCAGTCCATGCTTCCTACTGCACCCTGAAAAACTTCAGGTCATGCTGCAAATGGATAGCCTATGAATCTTCTCCCTACCAGCCTCCTGGCTGGGCCACGTTCATTCATTTTTATTCATTTCATTCTCACTTGTCTGTTGTGTTCTAGGCCCCATGGTGTGCTTTCGTTTAAAACGATCCTGCTCCTGTTCTCATTCAGGTTGTAGTCTGAGGGAGAGACACATTAAAATAACTGCAAAAACGGAGGCAGAAGGCAGGCGTAGGCTCTGTATGTATGGATTCTGCTTGATACAACCACAGTCATCTCGAATCTGGACTGTCATGTCTGTCCTGGAGAATCCACAGTCCATGTTTTGGTGTGTGGTCTCGCCTCAGACTGTAGGTAGACCAAATCCTGAGAATGACATGACGGACGCATAGGGCCTTCCAAGCAGATCCAGGCTCCAATTTGTGCTCTTTGATAAGGACTTAAGATGAGTCACGTATATCCCAGTCAGGGTCCAGTCACTTTACCCTAACCCGTGTATGTGACTCTCTTTCTGACTCATATGGTGGGATCCAGTTGGTTTTGCTGTCTCCCAAAACCAATACATTTATTGGTAAGTCTGCCAATAAACTGAGCTCTCCGATTCTTCCTCTGCCTGTATCTGGCTTTGGCCTCATAGCACCTGAGGCTGGCCTGTGCACACGAGGACCTGCTGTTTCGGAAGAGTTTGCCCTCGTGGATCGGATAGCCAGGACAGGCCTCTCAGAGAAGACATTTATGTTGAGAGCAGGCACTATGGAAAAGGAACAAAGAGAGCTAGCTATCCGGTCTATTCTTCTAGCTCAGGTACATGACTCACAACTCCTGTCCTGCCTTCCGCTACAGTATCCAAATGGCACTGGTTTCTATTTCTTTCTGGTCCACTGCTCCTGTGGTTCCTGTCCCATCTCACTGCAGCCCGTCTTTGCACCCAGGTTCGCTCCCTGGAGCCCACTCTCTGCTCCACCCACTGAGGGTGATTTTCTGACTTGTCCATTGGTGCACACTGGTCCAACAACCAGACACTGTAGTCTAACACACTGAGCTGGCTTCTAAGCTCCCACTGGATCCTGCCCATCTTCTGCCTCTCCTTGCATCACGGTGCCTCCTCAGCATAGAGAATTTGACTGTCAGTTTTGAAAAAAGATTTTAATACAGGGAGGGGAACAAATCCGGGGAGGGGAGTGTGAGGTGTACAAGTGGGCTCCAAAGACAAGGCTTAGACCCGAGGAGGTAGATACAGAAGGATCTGTGGGTCTCACGGGGACAGGAGCCCTAAAAGATCCGTGGGTGCTAGAGGGTGGGCCCTTCTCTTCTGTAGTCACAATAGTTAGTAACTTCTGCAGACCTGAAGAGGCAGATGTACAAAACAATTGAGCACACATGAACCACTCTGCATGTGCCAGATGCATGCCCTCTGCAGTTCTTGCACATTTAACGTTGCAATAACCACACACAGTGATAACTGTCATTCCCACGTGATGGCGGTAGAATAGAAGCCCAGAGGGATACAGGGAAGGACTTTCATGAATGTTCCCCACTGGTAGGTGGCCGTGAGAACCCGTAGGCTGCTCTGAGACTGGGGTGGGTGTATTAGGAGGACGAACACAGGTCTGCCTCCCTCTAACCTGTGCTTCGACTCGGGGCCTTCCATGCTGAAATGAGCATTGATTTATATAGTGAGGCTTGGGTTTCTGTTTGGGCTGCGGTACAGAGGGAAACACGAAGAGTTGATATGTAGCAGACACCATATCCACCATCAGGAATAGTGCATGCTCTAATTCTCACATCTGCTACATCAGCCTGTGGATAAGATGGACCTGATGGGGTCAGTTGACTTGCCAAGGCAAAAGTGTGAGTGAGAGGCAAAGCCTACATTTGATCCTGTGACTTTAAAGATCTCTTTTCATTCTACTCTAAGAAGTGAGGCTTCGAGAGTTTTCTTCCTAGAGGGCATAGGGAAATATTTTCTTTTTTTGTTTTTGTTTATTTATTATGTATACAACATTCCTTCCATGTGTGCTTGCAGGCCAGAAGAGGGCACCAGATCTCATTATAGATGCTTGTGAGCCACCATGTGGGTGCTGGGAATTGAACTCAAGACCTCTGGAAGAGAAACCAGTGCTCTTAACTGCTGAGCCATCTCTCCAGCCCCCAGGAAATATTTTCTTATTCCCCAGCTGGGTACCAACGATGATGCCTTCAGGAAGAAGCTGGGAGAGGATCTTCAACAGACTGATAGTCAGCCAGACCTGGTGGTGCAGGTCTGCGATCCAAGCTATTGGAGTGGCTGAACCATGAGGATCACTGGTTCAAGTCCTGCTTGAGCTATAGAAAGAGGTCAAGACCATTCTGGGCAATTTAGTAAGGCCCTGTCTTCAAATAAAAATAAATCAAAAGAAGGTGGGGGTTGTAGCTTAGTGGTAAAGCACCTGCCCAGCGTGTGTCCGAGGCTCTGGGAATAAAGCAAAACAAAATGATGAGGGTACAGTAATTAAAACTGTGAGCAGATAGCTGTAGGATCTATTTGAAAGCCAAGAAAGAGGCCCAGAAATGTGGGTACTTGTATCCCACCATGCCAGTCTGTGTTCTATGTGCTACCATACAGTTCATGAACTGGGCAAGGGGCTGGAGATTGAAACACAGACAGACACACAGACAGAGACACGGGTGATCCTTGAAGCCAGAATGCTTGAAACAGGAATGTCCCAAGAATGCTCCTTTATTGTGTTCAGGTGCAGCTTACATAGGGATAGCCACTTCCCAGCCAAACCCACCAGAAATCACTCCCCTGCCATCAGGAACTCCCGAGGGTCTCTCCTGCTCAGAGCAGCTGCAGGCTATCTCAGAGCAGAGGAAAACAAGTTGTTTACAAGAAATTCAGGACCTGGGGGTTCACTGCTCCCAACAGGTACTTAGTGTGCAACAATGGCTATGTTATTGAGAAAAACCTTAAACCAGCTGGCTTTGCTGAAGTGACCCCAGAGGCCAGAAGAAGGTGTCAGATCCTCTGGAGCTAGAGTTACAGGTGGTTTAACTTAGGTCCTCTACCAAAGCAGCAAGTGCTATGTATGTTTGTATGTATGTATGTACGTATATATGTACGTGTGTATGTGTTTTGTTTTGTTTTGTTTTTACATCCCACCCACAGCTTTTCCTCCCTCCTCTCCTCCAGGCCCTTTCCACCACTGTAACACCCCCCCCATCCAGTCCTTCTCTGTTTCTCTTCAGAAAAGGGCAGGCCTCCAGAGCAAGTAAGCTGGCTAACCAGCTGTATCCGTGAGCTCCGGGCTCACGTGAGAACACTACATGAGAGCCATATATGTAAGGTGGAGAGCGATGGGGAAAGACTGGTTGTCCTTTGTGACACTGGTAACTGAGGTTAAGGAAATGCTTGTGTGTTAATGTGTTAATTGTCCTATTGTTGTGAGAATATTCACCCTAGGGGAGACTAGGTAACAGCTAGTCTCCTCCAGTTTCCATGACAAACCTACAAACCGCAGTTTGATCCCACCAAAGTTCACCTGGGGTGGATAATGAACTCATTAGGTTTACTTACACACAGCGGGTGAGCAGTTCCAGGCAGGAGTGTAGGTAACCTTGAAGCAGCCACACTGAAGGTCTGCACCCATCGTGGATGATGGCTCACCCACGGCTGTGTAGATGGAGCCCCCATCCTCCAGTCTTTCCCAGCTTATATACTCTAGGCCCTCCTTGAGATCTTGAAGTCACATGCAGTCATGGCAGAATTGAGTAAAACTGTTTGGGAGGAATGTCTGGATTCACAGGTGAGGGTCCCATGACTCTCCTGTCCCCTGCCCCCTCTTCCATGAGGAAGTGTCAATGGTCAGTAAACTCAGTTGTGATGATCCTTTGCGAGTGGGCACAGATGGTCTCATGAAGATGGTGGCGGTGTTTGGATATTGCTAAACAGCATTTAGCAGATACATACATCTGTTAAACATGGGATACATACATCTGTTAAACAAACAGCAAAAAATAAAACAAACAAACAAAAAACCCAACACCATTCTGCCACATTGTTACATATAAGAATGCTTAAAAGCCCCATTAGATTTTTAATACAAATTTGTAGCAAAATCCATGAACTCCAGTAGAGGGAAGTATTGTCACATGCAAAGAAAGCACTGCCTGGACAAGGATGTTCTGAGTGTCCCATCCCCGAGC